TACGTTATATTGTTCTATGCGCATGCAGCCTAATTGAGTTGGCTGTGGCTGATCATGGGTGTGCACTGTCCACCTGTGGTGGTCTCGTACGATTTGAAGCCATCGCTCTGTCTGCGTGGTGGGAGTTTACATCCCACCCGGGCTATGTGGCACTGTTCAAATGTGCCGGCTTCAACGTTTCGTTAACGTCGTAGCTGCAGAAGTTGTAAATTTACAACGTTGCCATTTTTGTGTGCAGGCTTGGTGGACTTAAACTTTGTTTACTGAAATCCAGAGGTTGTGCAAAAATGGCCATTCATACCTGTAAAATGAAAATTCCTGAGTATCGCTAAACTAAAAGGGGTGAAACCACGACGGCTGTGACCTTGTTCTACTGCTGCCTGTTGGTTGCCCACGTTTGAAAAATCATCTTTATTTAAACTGCTATGGCCGCACGGTTCGTTTTGAGCTGTGGTGTCGACATTAAAGCCAGAGAGCTTGTACACACTTGGTGCACATCCTTTTACGTGGTGTTAAAATTCGGTTACAAATTGTATGGGGTGTCCCATTTCTTCACTACTTGTTGCTAACTTACGTTTAAAACTCTAATTTATAACGGAATAATTTGTTAATTGTGCCTTGGAAAATCTTAAGATGACTCGTTCGATGCCGATGCGCTCTTTCCGTGGGCGTAACGCGTTCAAATTCCCTTAGAATCTGAATTTCCCCCTGTAGCACAAATTGAGGTGTGTAAAAAATCCCCGCCTAAAGCAGCACACCTTGACTCGGCGGGGATTTTTTTTTGTTCCCCTGAACCCCCCCCCCCCTCGCTGATGACTTCAGCGGTGTCGCACCGCAACCCACGCAGTCTGTCTGCAGGTCACGGATGCCACCTCTCCCTCCCTCCCTCCCTACGCGGCCCTACCACAAACCTCACTTAAAAGTGCCCGGAAAGTTTACTAGAAACCAATTTATTTTTTAATGGGAGTTAGTGTGGGGCGGGGGGGGGTGTCGTGGATGGGCACGTGAAAGCGGTCAACTTCTGCTGTACTGCTGCAGAAGCCAAGCTGGTACAATTCTTTAAGCATTATTTTGTAATGAAAGACTGTTGTCTTGGCTTATCTGGCTTTGGTTTTAATGTGGGTTTAATGTGGTTGCTCTATCCTAAGAAATGACACTCGAGTCTTTCTTCTTCCCCTTCTGCTTCTCGCTCAGTCTTCTGTAACCTACGGCAGTGCAGCCGACCACACTGCCCCCGCCCTGTGAGGACAGACGCCGCTTGCAACAAACGCCCACGCGTCGCAGCGGCGGCGATGATGATGAGGATTTTTGTGCTTGACTCATCCTTCTGGCGCACCCAACGCGCACTTCCGCGCTTGCCGGGAGGGCGGGCGGGCGAGTGGGCAGTGCGATCTGGGCACAGTCTCGCATTGAGGAGCGAAGGCTGTGGTGGGGGCGGGGGGGGGGGGTCTTTTGGGATAACTTAAAAAAAAACACTCGGCGGACGTAACATTTGCGGTTGCTGCCTCTCTCTCTCTCTATATATATATACCTCCCGGCGGAACGTTTCCCACTCGAATGAGAGCGGCGCGCTTTGCTCGGAGTGCGAAGATAAACTTTGCTCAGTGGTGGCTTTTCATTGCCTCCTGTAACATTGCAGCCTGGCGAAATTATACGACCTGGTTTAGAAAATCCATGTAATCTCGGTGGGAGATAACGACACGCGATTTTTTTGGACGGTGGGCGGGTTCCTGTAGAGCGCGGGCGTTGGTACGCGATTACTACAATTTACGCTTTGCGTTTGGCCCGAGTTTCTACAAAGTTGCTGCGAAGTGCAGCGCTAGAGTTCGTGGAAGGGGGCGCACCGCTGCACCGCTGCGTCTCTGAGCGCGGCTCCCAGTTTTGTCCGTTCAACCATGCGGCTACAAATGCAGGTGAGTGACTTTTTTTTATCTTGTACATTCATATTTTACCTAATTTATATTCTTTCCTCCTGTAAATGACCTGTGACTTGCATGTTTGCTGTGACGTGGTCGTACACATTTTATCGCCTTGATAGGGATGCTCTAAATGGGATGGTGCACTATATAACCCTGGCAACCCAGAGTTCATTTCCTGGCCACGACCTCGTGGTGATGGTCGAGCAAACCTCGCGGCTGACCTTTTTAAATATTGGAAATTATTTTTATGTTAATGCAGAGCGATGTTATAGATTTATTTAGAAACAGGATCTACGATCACCGGACGTCTTTGCGATCTGTACGATACCAAAGTTTGAAACCTGCGCGTCTGGTCTCAAAATGGTTGGCCTACGTACGACGCAAAATAAGTAAACAACTCTTCCCTCTACTTGGTAGGCTGTTACTGGTAGGGCCTTTACGAACACACCGGTACAGCGATCACACGCGGAACGTTGGCATCCGCTGCGAGCTTGGCTACCCGTGTCGAACATTACTCGCACAGCTGTGAACCCAGGGATTAAACGTGAGTGCGTGTTTTAAAGGATGCCGGATTTCACCATGACGGCCCGTTGAGATGTTACGTGTGGCGTTCCGCGCGAGAGGTCGTTCCTAGTTCATTTCGTCTCAACCAAACATGAGGGAGGAGGAGGAGGATGGCCGACGTGAGGACGGGAACCGGCGGCACAAGTGTGGTGTCTATTCTCCCAACAGATCCAGCTGTGGCTGAACCAAATTCTTATCAAGTATTGTTTAAAAATAGATTTTCCTGCGTGACTGCCTGCCTGCGAGGGAAATTTCTTTCCCACTGACGTACATACGCGCGTGCACTCTCTCCCTGGTGTAGTCGGCTCGTGTGCAACTCATTGTCGTTTTTATGGGCCGTCTCTCAAGCCGACGTGCACTGCACCACGGTCCGTTTGCCTCAATTCCACGTTTAAACCTCGTGCCTCGAAGGCATCTGCATGTGCAGGAGTTCTTGCTCGTGGGGTCCCTGCCGGTTTAACGCTCCATACCGATCCTGCTATGTACGAACTTCTTCTGCACAGTACGTAATCAACCGTGCTAATTGGAAGTGCGGGGGAAGGATAACAAACTACTTCCCTTCTACGTGACTTTACCTGAAAGAACCAAGAAGATAAACACAACAGTTCTAAAGAAATTAGTTTATTCAATCGTCTACATTTAAGTGCATCACCCCAGTGGCTACCAAATGTCAGGAAGGAGGAGCATTCCAACCTGCCGCAGAAGCGCATCCCGAGTCCGATTCGGTGACGGGTGACGTCCTTGTTCGATGGCTCGCCAAAAGCTGCTGCTGCGAGAATGACCGGAATTCACTTTGTTTTATGCTCCTTGACCAGATCGGCGAGGGTGTCGTGGTTCATTTGTGGCGAGCCCTTTTTGAGTGTAGCGACCCATTGGCAGGGTGGCAGTCTTTCCTGCAGCATCCCGGTTGTCTTTAATACAACCGTGCGTGTGCCTTGTGGGATTTTTTTTCTTTCAATTGAGTTATTTTTCCTGATTGTGTCTTGGCCGGTCGCTCTGCAGTTGGGAGCACCACCAATCGGAACCGTTTGGGAGTTCAAATCCTCGTTGGAAGGGGGATTGGGGAAGTTGACTGGTCATCCTTCCGGGGTCTATTAAATGAGATTATCTTTGTGGTCAGGAAGTGGTTGTCCGTCCTATGGGTATCCTGGACATCTGAAAAGATCTCTACAGCCCATTGCATTCCTCCAGCATAAATAATTTTTATTCTGAACTCTGCCCTCGCCACACCAATGTGGAATTTCCACCACTGGCTTGGCATTGAGCTCGAGTTTGAACACCGATGCCCAATTTGAGCAACAATCTGCTGAAGTGTCTTCAGTCCTCTTTCTGGTGACTGGGTCCGTGGATTCGTGATTTATTTTTTAAAATCCTGTTCCATTAATGCGCACATTGATCGGCTGCCCCTAACTTACAATGGAAAATTCCGTGGTCATATGTCAGTAGCCACAAAGTTGACTGCCGTTTTTAGAATTTCCTAAACTGAGATAAATAATTGTGGCATGAAAGGAATTTGCCCATGTAACGATTCGAGGAATTTTAGTTTTTTGGAACTCCCATGTGGGATTTCTTGCTTGGCTCCAACAACTCTGCCCACTGCTTGGCAGCTGGCCTGTGGTTTTTTGAGCCCTTTTCGAGGGTGAAGCGACAGATCTGACTGCCTCCAATGCTGCCTTGGGTCTTTATGGTAACGGCTTGCCTTTGTCTCGCTACACTCTGCGTGTAAAGATTTCGTCCTGTGAACCTGGCATGCCCACGTATGGGCATGGATGCTGTGTTGGCTCAGGAATTTTTTTTTTCAACATGTCACTCAAATCTACCAACGCTATTTATTAATGACTTGTTTTATTTGTCCAAGATTACTGGTGCGCGCGCTGTAAGACCTTACATTTGAGTAACACTCCATTTTAAAAAGCTACATTCTGTGCAACATTAACCAAATGTTGTTGGTACATTTTAATTGCGTGCCGTCTAAATTTCATGTGGTTGTGCAACTTGAGAGTTTTTTTATTCATTATGCTGGAGGTTGCTGAGAAGTAATCCTTTGTTTTGGATAACGTTTAATTGTTTTGAAAAATGGCTTTGCACCGCGTTCTGGTATTATGATATACAGCAGTCGCTGTCATCCAGTTGGGAGGTAAAGCAATACTCTTGGGTACTGCAGTGGCAAGATACTGACTACCTCGCCTGGTATACAGAAGGTCGTGGGTTTTTATTCTGTCCCTGACACCCTGTATTTAGATTTTGAATGTTCTCTCCCTGGTGGTCACGTGGATTTTTCTCCTGGGTCTGGTTTTTCCTCCATTTTTTTTTATCCACGTGCTTTTACGGTATTTTGTTGCTATAAATATACACATAATTTAAGCCACTTTTTTGAGCTACAATTTGTGATAGCCAGATTGCTTCTGTAAAAAAAGCGGTGGCTCGGCGGGCCATACCTGATTATTTTTTTTTTAATAAAGTTTGTGGCCAATATCTGACTGTGGCTGCCATCCCCGCCCCCCTCTGCTCGTGCAGGTGATCAAGGTGTTCAGCGAGGACGGCACGAGCAGGGCGCTGGAGGTGCCCACGGACGCGACGGCACGCGATGTTGCCCAGATGCTCGTTCAACGACGCCACTTTGTGGACGACAACAACTGGTCGCTCATCGAGAGCCTGGTCTCCGTCTCCATAGGTTTGTGGCTCTCCCCGTCGTTCATTTGCTCGTCCGCTCTCCCTGCCGCGCTGCTCATCGCTCGCCCACAAGTGCTGCGGTGTTGTTGTCCGACCAAAGGCGGCGTTCGTCACGGTTGTTTCGTGCTGTTTTCTTTGCCTCCAGTCCCCCTTTTCAATACATAATCGCGACTTGTCGTTTTTAACCCCCGTCACGAGCACTGTGGCTTTTGTGCTGAAGTGTTGTGTGCACGCGTACACGGACGCTCTTTGTACCCAGGTGAGAGCACCTCCATCGACACGAAGCCTCTTACAAAAGAGCCGAGGTGCAAACAAAGTGGGAGATACAAATCTCTCTCTCTCGTGCAGACAAAGCAAACAGAGATATCACGTCCTCCCGACCCAACCGATCTTTCCTTTGTCACGTCGGCCACTTGGTGCCTCCTCTTGGTGACATCTCCTCCAGCCTTGTTTGTTTTGAGGCCGCAGTTCGATCCCCCCACCCCCGTGTGCCATCGCTGCCTGCGCAATCGGTGGGTCGCACATTGGAACGACATTTTGCTGGCGTTCCAACTATTTTTGAACTGCGTTCTCACGCGATTTTTATACCGCAAGGATTTCTGTGGGGGGGGGGGGGGGCACACATCTGAGCTGGCAGCGACTTACAAGTGTTATCTTCGCGGTTCTTCCAACCAGCGAGGCGAGGGTGGCTCTTTTCCCTCTGCCAAGTGTGGCATTGTGGCCTTCTAACATCGCCTGCCGAATTTCTCGTGATAAAAAAAAGTGTTCTTCGCTGTGTCAAGTTTAAATATTTCGTGCCCTCCACCTCCCCCTGTGACATGTCCATAGCGACACCTTGAAGTAGCATCATTGACGAATGAAAGGTCCAGACGCGATTTATAGAAAAATATCCCCCCCCCTCCCCCATGTGCATTCCATCGTTCTCTAATCCACTCCGCGTGATCTGCTTGTGGTCCCGTTTCCCGCATCCACAGTCTGCTCCGGCATGTGCCGGGCAGGCACAAGTCGGTGTTGAATTGTGCTAAAGTCGAAACGTTTGCCTGTGGTTGATTTGATAGAACAACAAAGCCAAGCGGGGTTTGGGTGCCAGATGGGCAGTGAATGCGTTGTGTGTGTTTTTTAAACCAGCGCTTGGCAATCTCTCTTGTCTGGTGGTTGTTCAACTTTAGTCGGGATTAATTTTTAATTATCTCCCAGTTGCTAGCCGTCTGGTTAATGCAGTGGCTTAATTTGTAATTGCCAATCTGTTCTAGTTGTATGCGTGTACATGGTGGATCATGGGACTGGAGATGTGGAGATAATGCTCCTACTTGTTTTGCTCGACCACACACTTCCTGAAAATCATAATTGACCCAAAGGACCAAATACCGGGACTCTGTCTGTCTGGCAATAAGGGGGGATGCAGAGCCAGAACTGCTGAAATCTTGGGCTACAATCTTGGCCTTGGACACCCATTGCTTGAAACTGGGCACTCTCTTCCTAGTAGCGACAGGATGGCCTCTGCAATTGGTAATAACTAATGAAAGAGCCATAGCTTCTTTGTTACTCTGACTTTATTTCCTTTCTGAAAAATAAACATTTTGGTTTTTAGTAGTGTGTGTCATAGATCTCTCTGCAGTGCTTCAGTGTCCTCCAAATTGAAACGTTTCCAGCCAGTTCAATGAATTGCTGCATTTGTTGTAACGGCAGCAGGTAAAAAGTTTCCCTGCTCTCATGCCAAGCGATGTTCATGGCAAGAATATCTACACTCGCGGTTTTGAATTTCGCAATATGATCTTGTGACGTAATGTGTTTACGGAATTGTCTGCCTCCACAAGGCCACGCGGACACCCATAACCCCCCCTCCCCCATCTGCGAGTTCCAAATGGAAATTAAATTGTCTCGTGACACTGAGGACAACATTGCAATACAGATGTAAATACATGCAAAGCACCTTGACATTGCCCAGTGCTGAGCGAAGGTCTGTCCATACTGTTGGTCGTTGTTATACTTCCTGCTGGTCAATGGAGGTGGTGGTGAAGGGTGCTTGAACTGGTTGAACTATCACGAGCAATGGTGGGGTATTAACTCTGGTTGCCGAGCTCGTAACACATTGTCCTAAGGACATTGCCACCGCTGCACCCATCTGGCAGCATCTCGCATTACAAACGCGCGACTATCTGAATATTTTTTTCGCCTCCAGGTACACCCACAGAACATTGACGCATTTGTGTCGAAGGCTTCGTACTTCAGAGGCGTAACGACGCAGATTAAAATCTCTTCATTCCGTTTGTGCAACTACAGTACTTGGTGTTCTGGTCATGCACTGACCTTCGTTGTGGAAAACTAACTGTGCCAGGTCCTCTGCGTGACACCTGAAGTCTCCCTTGTAGAAAGGCTGTGCGCTGGATGAATCTCGTTTTTAAGGTGTGGTGGTTTTTGTTGTGGTGCTTGGTTGCCCCCATATGCGCAGAGCGGTTGCTCGAGGACCATGAGGAAGTGATGCAGGTGCAGGCATCGTGGGGCAGCGATGCCGACAGCCGCCTCTACTTCCGCAAAAACTACGCCAAATACGAGTTCTTCAAGACCCCGCTGGTACCAGCCATGAACTCCCCCCCCCCCCCCCCCCCTCCTCCCGCACGGCACCACCCGAAATCCCTGAGTGCACAAGGGCATTCGCAGCTTGCTCCCTTCAGAGATGTCTTCTAAAGCTGCATTCACGTTTTGCTGTCACCGTTGTTGCTGATACTAGAAGTCTAATGGATCAACGGTAACCTCATCGCATTGATGAAATTCAGCTTCATGCTCCTGGCACATTATTGTTGTGAGTGACATTTTGACAATTCAAATGATATACATTTTACCTTTTTATACCAAAGGCAGCAAATTAAACTGTACAAATGTTTTTTTTCTTCCCATATACAAATCCTAGTCTCTCACAAATTGAAGTGTGAACCCAACTTGTCACTTGAATTGACTCGTCACCCGGCCGGGGGTAGAGGAGTAGGGGGTGTTGACTTGTTTGCAGGCCTCACGGCCGCACTGCTTGAAGCCCTCCCCATGGAGGCCCTGACGTGAGCACGCCGGGCCCCATCGGCAGCCTGGCGGCCCTCGTCCGTCTCGGTCCCGTCCTTCACCCGCTGTCGTCGTTGTCTCGTGTGTTTTGACATCCGCAGCAATTTTTCCCTGACCAAATGGTGTCCAACTGCAGCGAGGCCGCCGCCACCTCGTCGTCGTCTTCGTCGTCAAACGGAAGTGTCCCTCACTCGCAGCTTGTCCAGGTGAGCCATGTAATGCCTCCTGCACGCAGCTCGTGATGATGGGCGCGATGTTTTCGGGGTAGGAAACTCTGGCGCGCTCTCCTGCTGTCCCGGGCCTGTGTGCCGCGATGCTAAATACTCTGCTGCAATAACGCAAGCGCCTCGTTTTCACTCCTATTTGCATCCATATGGAGTTGACCGTGCTTCGCCACACTGGCCAGTGCATGTTGTTGATATATCTTCTTGCAGAGTACCAGACGGGTATGAATGCCCCCCCCCCCCCCCCCTCGTAAGTTTCTCATACTCGGGTCAACATGACCTCTTGAGCCTCTTCAGCCAGGCAAGGCAGCGCTCTGAGGAATAATTGTACGAGGTGTGCGTCGCCACAGGTGGTGAACTGTTCCACGTGGTCGATAGCTCCCACGATTTTCAGCTTGAGCTCTGAGTCAACGGTGTACCAGAGTTGTCGTTTCTGTCCGCGGTGGTGATGGGCAGTAGTGGTGTGTTCAAAGATTCAGTGAAACAACCGATTTTGTACACATTCTGTTCCCACAATCGTTTAAACCCCAACCCCTCGGCTGCAGCCTCATGCTGTGAACTTCCACTTTGAAAAATTCCCCCAAGCTGTGGCGACGTCTTTGAAAGTACTCGTATTTATCGTGCATTGGTGCTCGATTCTCATCTTGCTATTTTACACCCCCCCCCCCACCTTCCCGCACCAGAATTTCTTCAACTCGAGCAGCTGCCCTGAGATCCAAGGGTACCTGAGCGTGCGCGAGTCGGGGAAGAGATCCTGGAAGAAGTCTTTCTTCCTTCTCCGCCGCTCGGGCCTCTACTTCTCTCTGAAGGGAACCTCGAAGGTGACGAACGCTGCTGCTCATTCTGCCCGGGGGGAGGGGGGGCTGCACTACGGCGGTTGCAGTTTTTAAATCCTTTATATTAAGTTCGCGTGCTTGCTTGCTTAGGACCGTGCAAATCTTTCGGTCGTTTTTTAACCCACTTCCCGTGATCCAATCGAGCTGACATTTTCCACACAGACTCGTTGTGTGTGACAATTAATTTTCGTGAAATTTTTTTTCCAAAATTTTACACTTTTTAGGGAAAACAAATTAAATATTTAATTACCAATTGCTTAATACTGGCAGACAATCATCTGACCCATAGATTGCAGCCATCTCAAGCCAGAGGACGAGAGAACTCTAGCCGCCACGCATATAAAGGATTTAGAGTGAAAAACTTTGTTTTTACGGGTTTATTTGTTTAGTTTTTCCCCACGGCTGTTTTTTTTGTCTTTCTCTTTCCTGCAAGAGGGGTGAGATGTGGCGGGTGGGGAGTGTCAATGGCTCGACAGGGATGATGACGTGGAAGCTTGGGACTTGATCGTCCAATAGGATATCCAATGGGGAGATTGCGCAATATTAAATTGGTTCGTTTCCAGGTGCCAAGTGGATCATTAACGTCGCAGTGTTGACAGGTGGCAATAGCCTGTGGATGCCATAATCCCAACGGTGGATTGACCATGGCTGATAATGATTTGCCATGATGATTGTTTATTGGGCTTTCTTCCTGACGTTATTTGGACTGTGGCTGATATTTTTAACTTTTCTCTTTAATCCCAGATGTTTTTTTGCGATTGGCGCTTTTTGAGAAATCTGATCACCTCCCTCCTTGGAAAAGCGCAACTACGCCCCCCCCCCCCCCCCACCTTTTTAACATTTGAATGCTGGCCCCAACCCAGCTGTCACAACTTCCAACTACTTCTGAAATCCATTTCATTAAGTAACCTGTGGGTTCACTCTGAAGGGAGCGTTTTCCCACCCCACCCATCGAGTATAATGTTACTTTGTCACATGAAGTTTAGAACTATATATTTTGTTATTTCTCTGCTCGTGTAACCTTTGTCGCATTTGGTTCTCTACACCTTAATGCTCTAATTTAGGCAGATTAAGTGTGGACCCCAAATTCAATGTGGTGGTTTTATTTGTCCGTTTTTAACCCGGTCAAGACCAACTCTCCTCCTATTTAGCGTTGTTGGCTACGTGTGGTGCGAAAGAAGTTCAACGTACTTATTACACCTCAAGAACCCGGTTTGAACCGTCGCAGCTGGTTTGGCTGGATTCGAACTCCGATCTCTGCGGCAAGTGCCAAGCCCATCGCTCCGACCTCCCCGGAGCCCACGCGCCTACCCACCTGGGCTCCTCCTGGGCTGTCTGTTCCGCTGCCTCGGCCTCACCTTCTCCCCATTGCTTCCAACCCCACAGGAGCCACGACACTTGCAGTGCTTTGCGGAGATAACGGAGAGCAACGTGTACACAGTGCTCTCTCCGCGGAAGACTCACAACGCGCCCTCGGACTTCTGCTTCTGTCTCAAGGTGAGAGAGGAGGGGGGGGGGCCGAGCTTTGCGTGCGGAACATCAAGGGGGGGGGGGGGTGGAGTTCTCAAAGCTGGGAATCGTGCCGCACGCCAATTCCACCAACTGGGCCGATGTGGGGGGTAGGGGGGGGTTGGGCGGAATGGCCAACTGCGTTTTGCTGTTTAAACGTGAACAAATGGGTGTATTTTACGTTTCAGGCAGAAACTACTTGTAAGAAAGAGCCATTGCCTGATCTATATAATCAATGTTCAGGCGTTGTTAATTAGCGAGTGCCGTGAATGGTTTTTAACCTAATTTTTTTACGTTTGTGAATGTAGTGGCCTCCAGTGGCAGGAGTTGTTCCATGCCACGTGAACAATTGAAAAACTTGTTCTGACACGTGCACCTATCGCGAGTGCCACCACTGTGTTATTGTTAAGCATCTGGGATTAAGAACGATGCAGGAACTCGTGATTTGCGTGTGCATGAATTTACACGTGCAGGTTCCACGGCCTAACATTGCCAGTCGAACTTAACTTTGAGGCTTTTGCTTGGTATGGAATTCTCCCTGCCTCATCAATTTCATTTCTTCGGGACCTGCCATTTGGCTAATTGAAACAATGTCTAGAATTCATATATAATTTGTTTTCTGCATTGTTACGGGTTTGTTCACTCCAACCTAACCGTTAAGTGATCTTGTTTGCATGAACCCTAAATATTCGCACGCACCGCTTGTGGTGTTATAAGTATATAAAATTTCCCCGTTAGTCATGCGGCAGCGATGCCGATCCACCGACTGTTGCGCTTTTTTGTGCTTGCGTTTTGACAGCCCAACAAAGCGTGTGGCGTGAAAGATCTGAAGCTGCTGTGTGCGGAGGACGAGCAGAGCAAGGCCTGCTGGATGACCTCCATGAGGCTCTTCAAGGTGATTGGGGGGGCATGGGGGGTGCTTTTAAATCCAAGTTGTGGTAGGAAGGGTGCAATCTCGTTGGGCTGAACGTCTTGTGCAGGGGGTGGTGCGCATGAATGTTGCGATCGATTGAGCTCAGATTTTTTTCTTCCAAATTAGAGATTGTGCTATATTGATCGCAGCTCGCGTAAATGGGGGAGGGGGGGGGGGTGGCGCAAATGAAAGTTGCATTTGCAAATGAGGTCCGTGTGGAAACCCCAATCCATTTGCAGGACTCATTTTGAATGCTTTCCAACCTTAGGTTGAAAGTATTAAGTGCATTGGTTCTGTCTGGCCGTCTGCAACGGGAAGGGGGGGGGGGTCATGGTAATAATCCTAAAGATGATCCAATAAAAATTATTTAGTGCACACTTGTGGTTGCTAGAAGGACTTGTCCTCGAGAATATTGGCGACTTGAATAAGATTGCCCAAATCTTGGCTTGAGAAACCAAACCCCCTTAAAGAGGCCCCCCCCCGCCCCCTTGCTGGTTCGGGCTGACGTCACGCCGTGCGCTTGACTCGCCGACCTCTCCACCGTGACGTCGCCTCCGGTGCCCGAGCGCTGTTCCACATCTCGTTGTGATTCGGTCGTCGCGAACGTCGTTATGTCAATAACATCCGAGAACAAACGGTTGGGAAAGCGTGCTAGAGTTTGTGCACGTGGGTACATTTTCTTGTTTATATTCATGAAGTATCCATTAATTTTGTGCACTTAAATGCGATAGCCTTTGCCAAGGTCATTTTAAAAAAAAGGCAAAAGTGGTTGTCCCCTGGATGGACTCGCCCCTGTCGTAGGACCGCAAATTGCCCCCACGGGCTCGTGAAAACACCGCTTTCTGCTCGTTTGAGCAGGAAATCACTTTGACCTTTGACCCTACGCGTGTCGGTGGGTCTCGCACGCAGTCGTTCTCGGTGCAGCTTGTTGCCGACAGTGCCGGAGGAGATGGCGTGCTCCCCCGTCGGCTTGCAGTGGAGCAAAGATCTGTACAGTGACGCGTGTGTGTGTGTGCACTTGTCTTTTTTTGTTTGTTTTCAGCACGGTATCCAGTTGTACCAGAATTACAGGACCCCGCATCATCTGAGATGGAACCACCTGACTCAATTCACCGCCACGCCCATGGTAAATTCCAAAGAATGTGCATAATTTTTCTCGACCCACTCCCTCCACCCACCCTCATCCTCGTGGTCGCTGCTGTTATCTTATGTAAGCATGCAAGTGGACAAAAATAGACCACGATCACATTTTTATCTGCTCATCTGACGGGCATGCTTGGTGTTTTCAAACAAATCGCCTTGGCCTCCTGCAAGGTGTCATCTTTTTTTGGCCACCTGCATCTTGTCCGACCTCCCAAATTCTGCAGACCGTCATGTCGGTTGGCCTGCTGCCACTGCCAAGTTGGTGCGATTTTTTTTAGTGGCCCCTTGAATTGCCTTGCTCACTGGGATTTATATTCCCATTCTCTGCCAAATCATTGTGAGCCAGAAATAAATTCTGCTCAACCCCTGTTTCCGTTTTGAGACGTCTGCAAGTTGCGGGATGGGTTCTGTTAACCGCTGAATCTCGGAACACGCAAGCAGTGAGGCATAGCGCCGTTGCTGTTGAAGACCTTGTGCTTACTGCCGAGAACTAGTGACATGACCGCACTATGGTAACTGTTGCCAAACTGTGCCACACACCCCTCCCGCATGGCCCTGTGGAATCTTCGGTACGTCTTCTATTCAGAAGACGTACCGGCCAAGGATATTGTATTTTGATTGACGTTACACGCACACGATCTAAAAAGGGTTAAGAGCCTCGCTCACTTTTATTTATAATCCCGTGCATCACTAAGCCATGGGAAACTTGAGTAAATAAAAAGATGAACTCCTCTCTTAATTGACTGGCTAATGCACGTTCAGCCGATTTTGGAGGGGGGAGAAAAAACCAAGGCTGTGAGAAATGTATGCTAGTGTTTGATTTCTCGCAAGGCTCTACCAACGTAATGAGTCTCTAAATTCCAAACATGTGCTTGCTTTTCCTTGTGCGACCCACGGGCGCACGCGCTAACTTTAGAATCGCGTGCGCCGCCTGGGGATTTGACACTGGACCCTGGCTACAGCGGATTGCTTAGGAATCCCAGCGATACCAGTTTAGCCGTGACCCCTGCCTGAACCTCGCCGTCGTTGTTATGCCACATTTGGCGCTATCTTTAAAGTCATCGGCCAAATATTTATCTGAAAATGCGCTTGCCCAGAAGATTGCAATCCCTTGAACGGCTAGAAATGCAGCATCGCAAGTCTCCAACACAGGTTTTTGTTCCACCCAGTTTGTATTTTTAAGGTAAAGGTGTCTGTTGCGGGACCCCCTTGACAGTCGTGCATGTTGGGGACCTCATTGGTGTGGCAGCGTCGTGTAGTATCCATCCGTGGACGCGCCGCTGTGTTCGCATCCCCAAACGCGTGCTGCGTGTGTGCGCACGTAGTGGACGTCATCGCTGGCCGTGCAGTGTGGCGGATTTCAGTTCTGTGCAACCTTATTTCGAAGAGTAGCAACGTAACATTGCCAGTCTTTTTTTTCTCAATTCTTGCCTCCGCCCCCCCCCCCCAAACATTTGTTGAACGAGAGAAAGGAATTAAGGCACAGTTTGTTCGCGTGCTGCACTACGAGCCCAGCGACCCCAGCGCGCGCTCCCAGCCACGGCTGACGTTATCACGTGACCTCGGTCGGTCGGTAACCGGAATCTTGTGGTGGTTTGTGCGTGTGAACAACAGAGGAGCATTTCGGAAAACTCGCTCGTAGCGATGGATTTTTCGGGACGGAAAGGCCGGATCATCGAGAACCCCGCGGAGGCACAGACGGTGGCAGCTGAAGAAGCCCTGCTGTGGAAGGTGGGGGGGGGGTTGCACAGGCCTCTTTAATTCATGACTCCCTCCCCGTCAAGTTTGTCACTTTGAGTAGGGTGACGAGAGACTAATCCATTCAGATATCTCGGAGCGCGGCATTCTGTCTGACCCCAGAATGCTCGGCAAAGAAATAGTTTTCCAAATTGACTTGTCCTAAAAAACAATTTATTGAATTTCCCTGTTGTCCCTTGCACAATACCAGGGGATTGCACAACACTATACGCTGCTGTGAGATTGTGCACAGGACAAGTGATATTTGTCATTTTATTAGAGCTGGAATTTGATTGATGGCCAGAAACCATGAATTATTTCGACTTGATGAACATGTTTTAATCATTGGCGGCAGAAACCAAGCCAGTATATGGAAAGTGTGACCCTGTTGTGTCGAGATTCGTTTCTCCATTTGCCAGACAGATCTGGCTGTACAGTGAGTGTGCTGCTTGATCTGTATCTGGATTTCTGAGCGTTGTGCCCACATGATGGCATTTTATTCAAATTAACATTGGTTGGTCAAGCCATCGCAAGTGCACGACCTTAAGCCGCTTATTGGTAATGCTTTATTTTGGCGAAGTGGGGTCCACACCGCCTGAGCACTTGCATGCAGCTGCTGTTGCTTACAAGAGGAACGACGACCTCTACCGTTCGTTCCATCTGCTTGGCGATTTGGTTGCGTGACTGATTGCTGTCCCAGTGGACCTTGGCTCTAGATGCGTGTACTCCCAGTCGCCATTTCCCTACCTGCTCCCCTCACCGTTCACATGAACATACCAACTTGCCCTTTGAGTTGCTTTGCTGAAGCACTTGGGGTGTGTTGGCCACAGATTGAGACCCGAAAAATAAACTTGCGTGAAATTCTGGGTAAAGATTAACTTGGAAGAACGGGGGACGTACATTTTATTTTGGCGTGCGTGAAAGATGGTGGTCAGGAATTCTGGCTCATCACCTAAGCGCTTTTTAACTACGGCGGTGTTTTTATATCGCTGAACGCGTGCGAGCGCCTCGTGTGGACTCGTGGTCACGTTGCCGCCTCCACCCCTGCTTGGACGTTTGGCAACTGGGTACAAATACAACAATCTCAATCATTTAATTTCTCCTGGAGAAATCCGATGTTCAGTAGGGGGGTGGGTCGTCTGTGCTTGTCCAGTGGTTTTGCGCCAGTGACAACCTTTGGTTCAATGAGGAAATGGCTGGCGCTTTCTCTCAGAGCCACTTCAAGTTGTCGTGGTGCTCCCTCTGCTGCCTGCCTGCACTCCCTTGCTGCATAAACGCCACCCACGGCACCCTTCCTCGCGTGTCATGTCAACGGCGACTCCTGAAACCCAATGGTGCTCGTCCACAACGCCCATGGCGTTGTCGGTGTGCTTCTTGTGCAAATTATTTTGTGCACCTAAATTCCTACCAGTGTGGGGTGGTGCACCGAATCTGGTGCTCGGAGTTTGATTTTCCCTGCCTTGGCTACCACCGTCGCTTAAAGGTGGTATCAGCAGAGCTGTGCCCACGCCAACCCCATTCATGAGCCGAAGGTTGAGGTCTAAATCCTTGTTTTACTGATGGATTACTGTGCTTTGATGGGCAACTGCCTTCATTTGACGCGCGCTTTTAACTTCAACAGAAACGCGGTTGCAACCGACTCAACGTCCTGGGAAGCGGCAGTCCCGGACAGACCACCACGCTGAACACAAGTGAGTTCCAGAGCGACGCGTTCAGCGCTCCTCTACTCGGTGCGCCTCCCACTCATCGTTTCTCGGTCGTCAACCTCGCTGCTCAGGCAATGGCCCCTGGTGTCAATCTGTCGTTTGTGTGATGTCGGGGCCTTCATAGGTGCTCTAACTATCAGCATTTGTCCCAAAAGGCTTCAAGGCTATATGGGGCATCTGCACTTTGTTATGGTGGCAGGGTTGCATCTGCTCGTGGAGTTCCCCAGGGCAATCCGTTTTGGTCGCTCGCTCAACCTACATGCTTTAAAGCCCTGGGTCCTAAAGTCGCGTGATCCGCGTGCGGCTGTGCGGATATTTTTGTGGACGCGTGTCTTTTTAGAATGGTGCGGTGTTGTGCTTTTGATTTGTTGCGTGCCTGGTGCCCACTGGTGTCTGTTGGGCATGTGGTGGCATTATTGCGCACATGTAATGAGTGGTGTGGTTTATATCTCTACATGTTTCGTGGTATCGAAGCGTGTGTGTGGTTTGTGTGCGCTGCTATGCGTTCTGATTGTTTTTTTTTTGCTGCCGCTCCTCGTGCGTTGCCCAGTGATCCACTGGACACAGCCATGGTTCTACGGCCACATTTCCAGGGAAGAGGCTCAGAAGATAATCGCGCAGCAGGGGCTTGTGGACGGGTGAGTGCAAACGGCAGCGATGCACAGCCCCCAGACATCGAATCGATCCTCCAATCTGTTCCTTCTGCATGTGATCATATTCAAATTAGTTTTGCTTAATTGAGCTCTAATTTAAGGTACTGCTAGACGACACACCCTGAATCTAACTTTGGCCCTTGCCTACCGCTGCCGTTTCCCGTCAATGCCTCCCTTCAACGGGAGGCCACCTCTCACAATTTGGATGTTTTTACCCCCCCCACCCACCCTTTGTCTTAAGCTTCCTCCTGGCCCCATTGCACTTTGGCCAACATTAACTTTGATTTGTGTTCTCAACGTGCAACATCCGTGTCTGGGTTTGTCTCCGTGCGTGCGTCTGCACAGGGTGTTCCTGGTGCGCGATTGCCACAGCCACGCCAAGGCCTTCGTGCTGTCTCTGTGCCACAACCAGAAGGTCCGGCATTTCCAGATTCTGCCGGTGAGGGAGACGCTCTACCGTGGGGTGGTTGGAGATCGCCGTTTTTAGCACCACGTCCGGTGGACCAAACCAGCTTCGCTCTAGAACCAAATAAATTGCGCTGCGTTTTGCCGTGGGTGCACCAGCATCAATAAACATCGCCACTCGTCTTGACAAACGGCCTTGGGGATATTTTATCAGTTCATGTTTGGGGTAAGATGATCTCCTTGAGGGCTCTGTGTTGTGGAACAAATTTGTTTTCTGTCCTTAAGTTTTTCAATCTGTAACTGCGTTCTGAACATTGTTTTCTATAACACTGTCCAGTTTGGGTTAAAGACGGGGTGGGGTGAGGGACCCACGACTGGTTTAGCGGTCTCCTAGACACTGATAGTTGTGGCTTGGAATAGAACTGTGGTTTACCAGGTTCCTATTGCAGCAGCCAAACGACTGCACCGTCGCTGCACTGCAATGACGAGTACCGTAGTGCGAAATTATTTTAAAGATTCTTTAAATGACTCTGGTGCTCGTATACTTGTGGGTGTTCTGCGTCGTCTTGTGCACGAATGGAATGAATCCGAGGCCCCACTTGGTGTGACGCGAGTTGTCTGGACGTGTCGCGACGAGGCCTCCTGCCGTATTCGCTGTGTGGGTAGTAACGTTACGTTGTGTGGGTGGTAACGGTGTGGGTAGTAACGTTACGTTGTGTGGGTGGTAACGGTGTGGGTGCGTGGTCACGTGCCTTGTTGGCGACTGCTGTGTGGTGCCGCCCGACGGCGCTGCGTTTAATGCTGCGGATGTATCTCTCAATAGAGCTCCGCCTGCTTCGGCGGGCGTTAAATATCCCCGTGACGATGTTGGTTAAAGGCTGTGTGGCTAAATGTGCCGGCATCATGGTGCAAATGTGGGTGGCATGGTGGCACAGTAGTGAGGCTCGTTCCTCCGCAGCAAAAAGTTCCTCGGTTCGAGTCTGAACACGGCACCTTTTTATTGTGAGGTTTGAATGTTCTCCCCTTGTTCTGCAAAGGCGTCCCCTCCTGGGTTCCCTGTGTTTATACCAGTGCAATGCAAATAACTAACTGGTATTGGCTAAACATCCCCAATGCTGAAAAAAAAATCCTCCAATAACTCTTTGAATCGCACTGACAGCAGCAACGTTGCCCTCTACTGCCAAGCCTGGGTAGGACCCTGACAGTCTTGGAGGCTGGCCTGGCTAAATTGAGGATAAATTAACTAACACGTGAACACACACTTGGGTGGGGAAAAAAACACAAATCGTTATCAACGCCCCCCCCCCCCCCCCCACTACTGCAGACCAACGTCCGTCAACCACGCGGTGCCTTCGTGCGCAGAAAGCCTTGTTGCTGTAACATTGGCGTCCAATACCAGAATCTTACACGAATCCTTGTGCCATGTTGTTGTTTCCTGGACCAGGTGGAGGATGACGGGCAGGGTTTCTACTCGCTGGACGAGGGCCAAACAAAGTTCTCTGACCTGTGCAGCCTGGTGGAGTTCTATCAGCTGAACCGCGGCGTTTTGCCTTTCCGCCTGCGCCACTGCTGCACGCGCGTTGCCCTGTGATGACGTCGCGACGGGCGTGCCTCGGACCTCGCCCCGGACGGGGGAAGAGAAGAGAATCAACTTTCCTCTGCGTTTTCTGGGACCTCAGGGTGGGGGGAGTGGCGGACCGCAGTCAAAGTCCTCTTCTCTCGTGATCCAAATTTGGGAGAGCCGTTTAATTCCAAGAGTGCGTTTTTTGAAGGATCGTCAAACACCATATTTTTTAAAGAAGCGAAATCTCGAGTGGTGGCTGCTACTTGATGGACTTGTGAACGTTTGAGACGTGTGGGGCTTTTTTTTTTTCTTGAGCGGCGGATGGGGATTTGTGCCTGGAAGGGGGGGGGGTACTGCTGGCCGTTTGGGTAAATTCGACACGAATGTGGTTCCACCCCCCCTCCCCCTCCATCCTTCCCGTTAGGGGTGCCGCACGACGCTATTGCCTTTGCAATAAAACAAGCAAAAAGAGGATGAGGAGGAAAAAAAACTTTCACGTGAGAATTTCAGAGAAAAATAGAGGAAACTGACGTTTTTTTCAGCACGAAAATGCACAGAATGTAGTGTCCAAAGGATGGCTTTTACTGTGAGTTTGCATTGCCACTCGGATCCCTTGTTACTGTTGTGATGGTGCACTAAACAATCAGGTGAGTCTCTTATTTACATGTTTTTAACTTTTATTTGTTTTTAGCGGCACGTTGTGCGGGAATGACCGCGCGCCCCAGGAACTTTCCTAATGTGACGCCCATCATGGCGACGACGCAATTGTTTCTGTCCACGGTTTTGATGTCAAAGTGGAGCAGATCTCCAACGGGTGGTGGTGGTTTGAGAATTTGACGCACATGGGTGGCGGCGGTTGTTATGAGGAGGAAGACGACGAAGATTGAAGGCTCTGAAAATGTGGACAATTACAATAATTTGCTCTGAGCAATTTGTTTTTAAAGCTCGTACCTTTTTTCAATTCCAAAAAGGCTTCAATGGACATTCATACTTGTGTGGCTGTTGTGTTTTAATTCAAGCGGAGTCTGTGGCGTCTATACCAGTTGGTTTCATCTGTAGCAGTCGGCTCTCGTCCTCATTTGATGCTGTAAGGTTACCAGTCTTGTGTTATATTTTGTAAGACTATGTATACGCTAAGTAACTTTTTATTCTGTTTATATTTTCCTTCCGGAGAAACCTTTTTAAATATTAGAGCCGCTGTTTTTGGACACCACACTGTTGTACATTTTCTATTTTTTAAACTATTTTATTAACCAGCAGAGTATTTTAATGTTAAATTAGCATTTAATTTCAAAGTACAAGAGTTTATTAATTAAGTTTCGTTTTGCTTTTAAACACTTGATGTTGACGCTAGAACGTTCTGTAACTTTACATTTTTACGTAGCCAGTGTTTTTTCATCAGTTTCTTTTGGTTAAAGTTTTTAAACTTTTGCTTAGCTCCATAATGTAATGTAAGCAGGTTATTGGACTTTATTTAACATTATAAGCTTTCCTTCCTATTAATACAAATTGTGTGTTTTTAGACGTGAACACTCGAGTGTAATTTGGTGATTGCCCATGTGACTTGACCAAGTAATATGAATACCAGCCATAATTTAAAGAAAGTTAACACTTTTTTTTCACACTTTTCCATTCGGCGCACACTTGTATTGTTGTCAACAGCTCCAGATTGGCCCATGCTGTTCTGTGCACCTGTGGCCAGTAAACAACACAAGTGCTCGGAAATTAGGTCTGCAAAGTCTGAAGCGAAAACCTTGCACCCCCCCCACCCAGGTCTTCATCACTACTACAACCACCCTTGCTGTTGAGTGAAATTCTTTGTAATTCTTGCATTTGTTTTTAGGTAACGTCTGGACTACTAGCTATGTTGCTCTACACCTCTTACTAGTCCCCCCCCCCCCCCATCACTCGTGCCACATGTTTGTAAGAACGCAACACGTGACATCACTTGCCCACTTCTCTACCCTTCTCGACTTTCGTGCAGCGTTTTTAACCCCAGCTGCCCCCCCCCCCCTTTCAAATTCTTGGCGGCGTTAAACCATCTTGCCTCCCTGGTGCAAGGTGAGGTTTCTAACAGAACCCCGCCTCTGCACAGTGGTGGGACACCCTCTTTTTGAGAGGGAGTGGTGGGGCCCATTCCATTTGTGTCGAACCCTCCGACTCATGTAACCCAACGGCGTCCACTGGTGATGAGCGGCAAGGAAACGCGGCGTGAACCGTGGCCTTTGCTTTTGGGGTTTTAAAATAATCTGAAGAGTAAAGATTTTAAACCGACTGTGACCTACGTGCTTTTTAAGAATTGTTTTAAAAGCCAGCCATGAACGTGTGTTTTTTATGTTTGGCAGTCTTCAGCATTTTAAAGCACCACTTTCTGTCAAATCCTCCAGTACCACCTTTTAGAAATGTATAATTTAACATTGTGTAATGAACAGTTTTGGCAGGTTTTAGATGCACCTGGTGTGTCTCTCCCTTCGGGTCCGACTTGAGTAAAACCATACATTCTGCACTTCTCTTTGAATGGTAACATTGCCTCCCGTTCTATTCTAATTACAAAGACTTGGACAACGTTGCCAACATGAAATGATTTGACATGGAAAAGTGCCTGCATCAATTATTCTCGCAGGCCACGACGATCAACGGCGACTAGAATAATTGTAAGCTGTGGTCTTGGAAATCTGATACCTCCCCCATCCCGGTAGACGTTGCCTATCTCTGTGAACGTGTTAATTGCGAGGGTGAAATGGAATGTGCACGCCGTCGGCTCTGTCACCGCCTCTTGTTTGGGATGTTTTCTGGCTCATTGCTACCCTACAGCTCCGACTTTCTGTCCAAAAATTCACGAAGGCCTTAAAAGAAACAAGTGCTTTGCTATGCGCGATATTTGTATTTTCATTCGCCACGGCAAGATTGGTCTTTCCATGGTTATTACCTTTACCACCCGAGCAGTCGACTTGTTTTAAAAATATTTCTCACCGTTACTTTGTCGGCCCACCATTTTCCTTGCACCGTAGATTAGTTTTGAAAAGTGCGTTTTTGTAACCCATTTTCTTCCCCGACCCCCCCCCCCCCCTCATTGTTCATTGACGACCTAATCCCAAGACTTGTGGAGTTTGCAGGTCGTTTTACTCGTGGAATTCAAGTGTTGCCTGTTAGTGCCATTTCCTTGACGCACGGTAGCGGCACTCCTTGGCTCGGGTGGAGTGCTGCACAGTCAGTCGCCACGTGATGTTTGTCTTGCTAATTGCCGATCGTTATAAAATTGCTTCTGCCGTTATTGTTATATACACTTTAACTCTGGTATTCGTGTAACGTAATGAATACATATTGCAACTAACAATGTTATAAATACTTGAAGCCAATCTTTGGCCTGACATGTTTTTTTTTACTTTTGAAAATGTTCAATTTGAAAGTTTGCATTTTTAGTGGAATAGGGTTAAATATGATACTTTTCTGCTGTGTTTTTAAGCTTCGTTTTTTTGCCCATGCCTTCAGAACGGGACAGGTGGCTCCAGAAAAACAAAAACTGACCTCACCCCAAATGAAACTAAATGGCACGGTCCAAAATGAGTGCTTGTACGCGTTTCACTCCACCGTGGAACCGCGCCATTTACATTCAGGGCCTTATGCATATTCCCATATCTGTATCAACCTGTGCTTAGAGCATTGTTACCTTGAACCAGGTAGGAGGGGCACCATTTCAAAAGACTGTAGTAAAGCCATTTTCGTCCGCACGTCCCAGGGAATTAAGAGGCTCTACAGCAGAAGCCAGGTCCAGTGACATTATTATGAACCCAAGCTGCTAAGAACACCTTGTATGTTTATTATAAAAAGAAGATTGCGTGCGTGGCTGTGCAACATGTTTTTTTTTAAAATCCTTGTTGGAAAGCCTATTTTGAAATGTGGATCTTGCCTCTGTTTGACTTGGTGTTATGCCCATATGTTAAATGAGATGTGGTGAAATGGTGTACATTTTTAGGCAAAGCAAGTCTTATTTTATTAAGTGTGCCCTTCACTTTATCAAAGGACTAAGCTAACTTGCAATGTAAAATTTGTAACGTTTCTTAATAAACATGATTTTAAAATATTTCGCCGTGGGTTTTATGTTTTTTTAAACCCATTGTGGTTTGTAGCCATCTATGCTGTTGTGCTATGGTTTTCTATCCGAATCTATAACGTCATCAATGTCGCTGGATTAGAAGTAATGACAAGTTTGGTTAATTTTACCAGCCTTCGCATGTGGACTTACTGCGTTTTGAAATATAAATGTCATCTGAAATTTGGCGCAAACTGGGATCGCCTTAAGTCTTCGCAGAAATCCTAATTCTCGGAGGCCCTCTGTTACTTAATTCCACCAGAAGGCAGTGTGGAGCAGTGGTTTGCGGTGGCGTTTGCCAGTGGGCAGTGCTTTCGGTCGATGGTTCGTCATTCCTCCTTGGGCGAGCTTTCGCGCTCTGGTCAGAGAACAACAACAACGTTGTAGCATGTGCACAGGTGTACTTGATTGGTCCAATGGGGCGTAACATTTATTTAACTTGAGCAAGAAAGAAAAATACTAAACGGTGTCGTTGTCCGCTGCATTGCCGTTCGGCTCCCTGAAGTTGTGCTTGCAAAGCAATCGGTGTTGTGTTTTGTAGTTTTACGATCGTTTGAATGCTCTCCTCGCTGTTTCGGGCGTTAACCAAGGGTGAAATGTTTCCTCGGCGTGATTTTAAGCGCTCAACATTTGCATCGTCAGCGTGCAAGCGTAGTTTTTAATAACTAATATAAATGAGGATAATGGACCTGCTAGATTCGGCATCCGATGAAAACAAATTCGCGTCAATGACCTTCGATGGCTGTTCGGTCCTGGAAGACCAAGTTCACAATCCTCACTTGGTGTACACAGGACTTCACGAACCCTTGCTCGCTGAATTGGAACGCTGCACGATGTACTTTTGTGTTGCACGCTCTCTCCAGATTACCGCAAATGAGATTGTTTTAATCTGCGGACTCGAGCCTTCTCGGATGGGGGAGGGGGGGCGATGTGCTTGTACAGCTGCAGTGTGGAGTGGGTCATAGCAGTGATGCACTACGACCGGGAGTCAACTTGGGGGCCATCCATTGAGTCCGTACGTATGGAGGGGGAGGGGGGGTGGTAACCCAAACGCGTTCGCTTGCGTATGGGGGGTCCACTGATAATGTTCGCATAGGAAACGGGGGGGGGGGGGGTGAAGCCTCGAGAATAATTTGTCTACATTGTCCTTCAAATGAGTTAGTCCGGCGGTGGGCTATCTGTTTGCTTAAACACGTGGTTATTCTAGATTTGAAGCATTCGTGACTGCAAGGATTCATACTCTTAGTTTTTTGTCGGTAAAGTCACGTAGGTAAAAAATAACAAAATAATAATTAATATAATAATAAATGAAAATAAATCGATTAAATCACGACGTTTCGGAGGCAAAACAAGCTTCCTTCATCAGGTGTAAAAAGGCTCGGCAAAATAACACCTGATGAAGGAAGCTTGTGTTGCCTCAAACGTCGTTATTTAATTGATTTTCATTTATTATTTTATTATTCTTTTTTTACCTCCGTGACTCACGTTAATATTATGAATCCTTGATCGTTTCTGCGTGAATTGAATATCGGCCGTTCTATACGATTCGGGGGGGGGGGGTGTAAAAAGTCCGCGTGCGTACAGGGATGTGGGGGGAGTCAAGTTTTGACAGATTCTTTGCGTACCTACTAAATGGATGACCCCTTGTGGGCCGAAGGGACCGTTTTGGTCGGGGCAGGGCCCACCGGACCCACCCCAAGTGCCGGCCGCGTCGTGCAGTTTTTAGGAATTGCTCCAGCCCGGATTTACGCTTCCACCGACACGGCGGACGAGAGGGGCCCAGTCCCGGGTCGGTTCACTGTTGTGTGTGTGTGGGGGGGGGGGGGGGGGGGGGTAAAGTTATGCCGTGTGAAGGTGCCAGGATCGTGTGCCTCTCCGCCCCGGTCAAACTGGAATTTCCCTCCATCGTCAGTGATCACATTTGGCTGTTCCCACAGAGTCTGGGTGGAGTGCCGTCTGCGCGGCCCGTGTGTTGCCCTCTGCGCCCTGACCACCACCAAATGCCCCCCCCATTTAAGCGGCGTCTGCCCCCCTGCTCCCCTGCCCGCTATCCAGCGGGCTGCGCGCTCTATCCGTCAGGAGGCGCGCCAGCTTGACCTGTAGCAAGGTCCATGGCTGCTGTGTAGGTAATAAAGGTGTCGCTGCCGTGTTCCCCTGCAGGATCTCGCCCCCGCCAGCACGGGAGATTCGACGAATCGCCACGAGCTCGCGGCGTCGTGTTGTGCACCACGTGTTGGTGCGGGACACGTGTTGTGTTGTGCATACCACGTGTTGGTGCAGGGCACGCGTCGTGTTGTGCATACCACGTGTTGGTGCGGGGCACGCGTGCTGCTCGGCTTGGTGTCGTCTCGTCGTGGCGCGTCGGAGCGCCGCTCGAGGCTGCGAAGGTCACGTGAGCCAACGGCGCGCAACGTATCGAGCACAAGTCAAACAATGGATCGTCACGCCGGATTTAAATGCATCTGTTCTTGAACGTAATACATTGACATTTAAAAATTGAAGCATTGTTTAGTAAACTAGGCAGACGACATTCGCGTAGCGGTGGACGGCGTGGCTGATGATTGACGGTGATTGATGCATTGCTGCGTGAGTCGTGGATTGTGTGCCGTTCAGATCACCTCCTGTGACCCAGGTTCCATTCCTGGTCCTACAGTACACGAAACTAGTTTGTCGCACGCGTCTACAAAAATAAATAAATTATTGCTTTACAATAAGAGCCCAAAATGACATCACGGGCAATCTACTCAAATGTCACGATGACGCGTTCCTGACACGGGGTTACGTCTGAAAGAGTGCGGTCGTCTAAACCCACCCAACCCAGCCTCCTTTGCTCGCCCGGTTAGTATAAAAACAATGGTATGCTTGACAACACTCATCTGTGTGCTTTGCTATATGCGGATAAATGTGGATCCTTGTCGCCTGTGCAAACGGTGACATTGTTTACACAAATGCTACAGAGGGCACGTTTGTATTGCGCGGCTGTTGTGAAGACGTGTGTAGGTCGAGCGCAAATCCTGATAATAAAAAAAAAAGCGCCGTGTTTTTAAGAAATGTTACCACCTGCTGCTTGGGCGATGTCTCCTGCCCGCTGCCGAATGACTGTGGTGTCGTGCAGGGCTGCCCGAACCAGTGATTAAAGCGAGAAGGAGCACGGGGGGAGTTGGGGGGAGTTGGTTACTTTCTGCTGATTACAGCCACCCACCTTCCTTATTAGGAATAAAGAGCTCCCGTCTGTTACAAGATGCAAGGAATGTCATTGCTGCAAGATGGGCTAAGCAGTGCGAACGTCTGGAAGAAGAGATCGTGGCAGGTGAATGGTGTGCGCCGGGTGAGACACATGGAGAGGAAGGAGGGCGAGAAGGCAAGATTCCGAGAGGGGGGCATTGGAATGGTCTCCAAGAATCTGGCAACGGAGGGGAAGACCTAAGGGCAGGTGGTGGGAATTAAGCTGTCGGGAGAGATCTTGGAGGTCTTGTCGCCTGTGCAGCAGCTGCGGGGGGCTCTGGCAGAGGAGTCATAAAGAGGTGGCATCAAGGGAGCTGCCCATGATGACACCTTGATGATCTTGCTACGAATTAGGGTACCTTCCGGTTATGGATGTCTGCTTTAACTACTGGGCCACACGAAATCCCGTGGTGTAAATCTGGCCTGCGGTGGTGCTCGCAGTTACTGTTAAAAAAAACAGCTGTTCGCAGCTTTGAAATTAAGTTAATCAGCTAATTCGATTGTTTTGCAAAACATGTGCAGTAATTACATTAACTCTCTTGATTAGCTTGTGGGCTGTCTTGGCGTGATGAGGAGGTGGCGTCAGTGGTGCTTAGGGGACTGAAGGATGAACTTCAGCAGAGTTCCCGTGAGTATAACACGCGCCCACGCTTGTCTCTTTTAAATTCGATCTCGTGTGTGTCCTGTATAAATGCTCTCAAATCTCACTGCTATCACTCATATCTCTTCCCACTTATCTTCCAAATTCATCGACTGTGTCATCTATTTCTGAATATATCTCCTATCCCTAATAATGTGGCCATCTGTTCTCAACATTTTTGTTAATCCGGCCCTCAATGCTAAAACTTTGTGCATTCCTGGCCTCGTGTTCAATTTAAGTTGCGGGTGAACTGCCAACGCCAGAGTTTGTGGTTTGGTTCTACCACCAACATCAGCCATGGTCAATCCACTGCTGGATGAAGGCGTTCCCAATCCACCACTCACAACCCTGCGATGCTAACAATCCACCCAGCGCACGGAGCTGCTTTCATTGCTCCATCTCCTCGGTGGGCGGTCAATGGTACTACCAACTAACACGTACAGATGTGTCCGCGCGGTGTCCTGTTATGGAAACGTAGGTTTACCCAAGTGTGTGTTTTGGGTTACCTATGCGTGGTGATGTGTGTTTGTTTACAGGGAAGGCAATGGTAGATATAAGTGAAGTGTCACGCTGCCCGTGGCAAGGGATTATCGTTTGCCATGGGAACGGTGGCCACCATGCACTGACCCTCCAAGCAAGTAACGTCGAAAATCAAATGCTTTGAATGCTGTGTGGTGGCTTGTGCTATGAAGAAGGGTCATTGCCTGAAACGTTAGTATTACGGTATATACTTTATCCATGTTAAGGCCACAGTGTCGTTTGATACGTGTCGGATTTTTGTTGCCGTTACTTGTGCACCACTGCCAAAAGCAGTGTCGACAAATAATTTGATGCGTGTGCAAGTTTGCTCGTAACACACGAGCATTGCAATGTAACATCGCTCGGGATGCCCCCAATAACCATCTGAAGAGGTAGCAATCCGACTCCGAGAACAAGCCTCAAGCAAACAACAACCAGTGCCAGATTCAGTATCTCGCCATGCAGAGACAGGGGTTGCGGGGTTGGTGGGGGGCAAACGTGGCATTTATCCATGCCCCCCCCCCCCATCCAAAAAACTCCGAGAGCTTACGAAATGAAATGGTATCAATGTTTATCATGGTATCAATGTAATGTTGATACCGTGTCT